CGCCCGCTCGCGTGATAACATAATACGTCCCCGTCTTCGACGGGTGTATAAAAACGAGACGAGGGCGATTTTTTTTTATTGTGTAGTTTGTAAAACCTTCATTGTGGACATTACCTTGTCTTTTTATAGTTGTGTAGAGACCTGTCATATAGCAAGCCTCCAAAAATCCCCCCACGATGTTCCAGACGAGAATCACGAGCCCCCAATTCCTTATTTGTACCGAAATGAGCGCCATTTGTACACAAGACTAATAAGTCATAATCATTTTAACGCTTGCCTGTATCTCAATCCTTACCTTTATTCAAACGTTTTCGGGACTTGGGTGGCTAACAAGTAAAAATGACATGCGGACCAATTTTCCGGATTTTTTTAAAGATGGCGGTTGGCGCATTCATGATTTTTTTTTTTTATTACTTTCACGATAAAATCGGCAATGCGTAAGGTGCCATGAAATGCGCGCGGGCCTCAGAACCAAGTTATCATTTTTTTTTTGGCCTTAGATCTCCCAAGACGCCAAGATCAGTTTGTTAACCAGTACAGGTAGTTAAATCTGTCCACTTGCAGCAAAATATTATAACAAACATTTCAAAATTCACCAAACATATCTTATTTCAATTTATAATAGATTGTGGAACACTGTTCATCTGGACTCTTATATATTGACAGCAAAACTGCATCTTTGAACTTAGTTACAAAATGAATTAGATGAAGTTTTCAATGACAGTTTCCCCGTTTCATTAATTTATCAGCCATTTCAATGTTTGTTGAACAAGCACATTTATTCCCAACAAAAAAAAGAGACCATTTCCCCCAAAAATTTGCAAAGTAAAATAATTACAAATGTTTTGAAAAATTGTTAGTATCAAATTTATAAAATACTATTGACTAAATATGGCCTTATTTAAAGTTGATTGTAGTTTTTAAATGCAAAGTTATAAAGACAAAGTAAAATGTATCTTTTTCTCTCTCTCTCTCAATTTGTATCTTCTTTCAATTATAATATGCATTTCATTGACATGGGAAATTTAAATTAGAGTCCTTTCGGTAGAAATGTTTAAGAATTTCATTGACCCCAGTTTCATCTTTGATGGCCTTACCTTGAGCATGCCACCATGGTCTTGCCAGACTGATTTACAACCATGTGATTGACCGGAGCTGTGAAACGTGTCAGGATGCCATCGGGTGCCCCATCAGGGAAGGTGTGTGCCTGGACGCTGTTGGTGTCGGAGGACGTGAAGAATCGGCCGCTCTACAAAAGCGAAACTTAAAGCTTAACCTTGGCAATACGTCTTAAAGTATATCCCTCATTGTAAAATTAATTCAAAACATAAAAAAAAATGGCATGAAAAACCTCGGAAAGATTTTGCTGAAATTAAGAAACATTCAGCAAAATTATATACCAGGTAGTTCTAAGCTTCTTCTGCTGAAGTCTGTTTTTCCATGCATATCATTCAAATCTGCACCGACTACATACTAGTTATATATATGTATACGCCTGTAGATTGATTCATTTTGCCCAATCTCCATCTTAAAATTTTAGAGATTACTCAGATGGAAAACTCAGAATAAAATGTTTCAACACTTCATGCATTAGTCAACATGCTGATTGATCAGTGAGATTGCGATCTTTTTTTTTTTGCTGCTGATCCAATTTTGATTCCCTAAAGTCCTACCTTGTATACAATACCGTAGACGCGGTCACCAACCCTGTGAGAGATTGCATCGTCGTCCTCTATACCAGCCCAAACACGCACATCTCCATCTGTTCCACAGGTTAGCATATGTCTAACAACAATAAAACATCAATATAATCGTGAGTTTATATATATGTATGCATAATATAAACTTGAAAAAATTGTCATGAATTTGTTCTCTAAATTTCCACCAACTTGTTTTGGCAAAAATAAAAAGCATGCTTTGATCAGATGGAAAGAACATATTCACAGCATCTTCCATCATTGGAAAGCTCATTGGATCTTGTTTCGATGCCTGAATTTTTTTATACACTGTATAATTAATTCCCTTCCGTAGTATATAGTAGGACAAGGCTGAAATTAAAACTCTCTTGGGCAAATTCATTACCTTTAAGGTTAAGTTTCTCCTAGAGAATAAGATTTCCTATCTATTAAAATTTTCATTTGAGCTGGACAATTTTTCATTTGTGAGTAGAACAGGGCATATGTTTTCAAGTTTGGGCTACTATTTACGGAATGAAGAAAAAAGTTTTGGATGTAAACATCGCATGCACAATACATACTGAAAATCTAGATCTCTGCAAATCATTAAATGTACAAAAGTGCACACTGCACAAAGATGATTTTTAGGTTGATACCAGGTCACTCAACTAATATTCTTGGTTATTACTGAATAGAATTGGCATGCTTAATGAATTATTAATTTCTGGTACATGTAAAAGCAAAAATAATTTTACAAAACACAGCAATGCATTGCTATTTTATCACCAGATAATTTCAATTAACCAGGAGTAATATTTTCAAATATTGTGTATGGCCCAAACAGCAAAGTAGGGAGGGACAGACTCACAGGGTATATCTACAACACTAAGGGGAGCGAGACAACGTCACAAGGATTCTTTTAGTTAAGTGGTGAAAATTAAACACTTCTTTTCAAATGTTTATATTGGTGTACTAAACAAGAGGCCAAGGGCCACGTAGTTCTCTTGGCATATGACTGAATTGCTTGAAACTGCTGAATCCTGTTGTCAGGTCCCGGAAACAAAGAGACCTAATGCATCAATTCTGTTTTACAATGACATATTTTTTTCATAACTACATTATGTATATATACTCTAGAAACGTGTTTGTTAAGACTCGTGCACAGATGCCCCGCTCCCTGTTTGGCCGTACGCGTATACACACACGCAAAACAGAATTTTAGATCCATGCCTATAGTCTCTGGGCTAAATTTGATTTAGCCCAGACTGCCAGAGAACCAAAAAAATATCAATTAATTATTATTCGGAGGGGGGTCCGCAAATATGAACGATCACTGATGTTTGCAATTCCAAAGTAGGAGTATCACCTTTGCATAACTAAAGCTATAAAATACTTTGTTATTTCGTTGAATTGCTCGTTCCGGTTAAGCACAGATAAAAGTTTATGATGAATACGCTTTTGCTCAAAGTAAACAATGTTTGTAAACATCAAAACCGTGAACCGAAATAGACCAGATTGTAAAATCAACGAAGATTGAGATTCAATTACATAAAGACATGAACAGCAATTATTATTTACTTTCCACTGTCGTCAAAACACACGTCAGTATGCCCATCGCTGTGTGCATATCGGAGAGGTTGGACTGTCGGCATCTTTATGTTCCCGCAAAATAAAAATTGTTTTTGGCGCCAGTGTCATTCCGCAGTAAATTGGATAGTATACAAATAAACACTAAAAAAAAATATAAATTCATTATTTGTGTAATATGTTTAGTTCTTTCGTAATTATAAATCCATTGAAGACATTCTTCCAGTTTATCAAACGCTAAATATTGAGTAGATGAAAAATATTGACCCACAAAAAGGGGTGTGACGTCACATATCCGCCTACACATCGTATTTACTGCCATTTTCATTCATAAAATTGTTTTGGTGTATTCCATGGGAAGGACGTCAAGTTAAATGAATTTTAATGAAGATAGTGACCTGAAATCATAGCCAGTATGCCTTCAGGTAATTATAACATCATAATGTGTATGTTCTAGCTATAAACAAAGCCTAATCCGTGATGCTGGGTTGACAGATGTGTAAATAAGGTCGTCCTTTACCAATTTGCTTCCAATGTAGGAATATCAACATTGTGTGATGTATTTGCATAGGAGGTAGTATGGTACCCGTTAATACCATGGGACTGGACACTATGACGTCATTAGAAAGTGAACATGACCAGTGTTGGATCTGAAATAACTAGGTGTTTCCTTGCTCTAGCATTCCCCCAACATTGGAATTTCTTTTGAAACTTGAAAGGCATTATTTTGCCAATATACCCACCCCACCCTCCACACACATAATCAATGGTATTGTTTGTTTGTTTGAGTGGTTTTACGTCCGCTTCACTACCAAGTAGTCTGGTTATCCAGAAGACCAGCAGGTATCTGGATCCATTTAAGTTATGACAGATGGTGTCAGGTCGTTTCGGGACATGCCAAAAGTCGTTTCAGGGATTTTTCGTTTTTTCGTCTGTAGATACCATTACCTACTTAAATGTAAAATTTCAAGTTTATTGTACAAATGCTAAGTATTGTAATGCACCAATCTATTTATTGATTGATTGATAGGTTTTACATCCGCTTAATTCACTATAATGCATACCCAAGGCAACACAAGGGAAGTAACGTGTAAATCAACAATCAAATCATATATTCACTATATAGCTACCTTCCAAAAGTTCTGTTTAAAAATACACTTGCATTTTTCTAAATATAATTAAAGTAAAGAATTATGCCAATCTTGTTTTTATTATTATTTATATACTGTATGTTATGAATGATATCAAACAAGGAACCTATAAATAGCTATCAATAACGAAAGAAATTGAATGTTAAATTTCATAAAGTTCCTCTCTGTATTTAATAATGAGATTACTAGTACTTCTCCAGGTAGCAACACACTGAGTGAATGTTGGTAGGTATATATCCCCTCAAGCTTTAGCAATCATTGGTAACACTAATTATAATGATCCCAAGCACTGGTAGGTGGTGACATAGGTCATAAACTGAAACCATAATTGTGTATTTACAGGACTTTATATATGAAACAGTAGTGAAATGTAATTTATAAGTGAAAATTTCATGTGTTTGAAACGCCTTGATTAAATCCCAAAACATCTTGTGTATGTCACGAAATGAATCAATGGTATTGTGACCTGTTACTGAAACGACCTGTTACTGAAACGACTAGCATTCTGACATATCTAGACAACAGTTCAGTTATGATACGCCCGGATTATAGTGTAGCAGGAAATAAGGGGGGGGGGGACAGGCTTCCACAGGGGATTGAACGACCCCCAATATATCGTAGTATGCTACTGATTGAGCCTTGAGGTTATTGGAAATTCTGTTGAAAAGTCAACCATAATCTTTTACATGTACAAGTAAAACTTGCTACACTATATTCCACCCTCTTATGTGTTCACCTAGCCTCTGAACACAAAGTGCTACAACTTAACAGGTTTAAACTCTTTGTCACAACAATGAGAGGTTTGGTTAAAATATACCATTTGTAACATGAAAGAGAGTAGTGTGCTTTCACCAGGGATCAAACAAAAAACCCTCCCCAGATCCCAGTCCCTTAATCTCCTGCATGAAAGCTTTAAGGCAAACAACCATCTACCAATATTTCTTGTTTTGTTGTTTTTCATCAGCTAAATATCCAACAAAAGGTTAAGAGATTTTTCATAAATTCACGAAGAACTGTACGTGAAATATATGTTCTCAATTAAAAGATGCTTTTTGACATTTATAGCAACCGTCAGATGTCAAAACAGCCATTTGTTTTGACATTTGATGTAATAGGAGGTCAAAATAAAGACCTCTATTTTCCAAGCTGGACTTCTCGTTGTGGATGAATATAATGTTTTAGTTTTTGCAGGAATCATGTGCTCGCTTTTAGGTTCAGCCGTATAGCTTTGTACTTCTCAGACTAGGGCTGACGCTGTCGGCAGCTGAAGTAGATATTGGTTATTTTTGTTTTTAATTGACTACTATAGGTTAAAAAACATAAACAGGCCACAATTAAGTCCCAGAAAAACGGTCTGTCCACTCACTTGTGTATTGTGGCTGACGCCAAATATGTATTATTAGGGCTGACACAGTTCAGAGCATGCTGTACGACTTCAAGCCATTACTCTTGACTTCAAGGCAATTTTCCTAAACCGGAGCAAAAATTAACAACGGCGAGAAAACCGTCAGAGCTCTGGCGAAAAAACACTTGAAATTCAAAATTGACTGTAGCAATACAGATATAGTACCGGCATTCCTATTGTGATACCGTTGTTGCAGATCTATACCGATGCAAGAGCCGATGTGCTACCGAATACCACTTTTCAGTCACCAAGTGTTCTACCGACATTAACGAAGCCCTACCTGAGTACTGTCGATGTACTGCCCTTGTAGTCCCGGTGCTCGCTCCGGCAGCACAACGGCAGAAATGTCTACCGTCGCCTGCCGTTGCTGAACTATTCGACGGTGCCTTACCGTTCTTAGCGATGTGATACGGTCGTGCTAGTACCGATTCCCGAAAATCGCCAAATTTGTGCTCCGGTATAGCTCCAGCAACCCAAATCGGCTAGGTGTGACAGGCCCTTTAAGCAAATCACAAGTGGGGTTTCACACACCTTCAGTCTTCATGTACATTGGCCAAAATAGACTATCGGATCACCTTGCACAGTGCATCTGACAAATGTATGTGTTCAGCATATAAAACCTTGTGCATTTGATCTTCACTAACCTTTTATATATAATTATAGTATCTGATGAGCAAGCATAAATACGTCTAGACATGAAGAATTTCCCGGCTGCATTTTACTTCTAGCTTATCTCCTCCCCTTAGTTTGAAAACTTAGAAATCAGACATCCAAGTGATCAAAATTATTAGAGTTGTTTTTTTTCTAAATAATTTAATACTCTAAAGACGTCCGAGGCCTGGCAGTTTAAAATACTGTTTGTTAATACAGTTTTTAGTGTGTTCCGGTTATAATTCAAAGGGGTTTTCTCTTTGGCTGTATAATACATTTTAGAATGAATTTTATATTTCATTTGGGGTTTTTTTGGTTTTTTTTCATAAACATTCATTGCAGTGCATTTAATCTCCAGGATTAATTATAAATATTATTGCATCACTGAGGCTACTTTTGTTTGATTTTTTTAGGGGGGGGGTGTCAATTTTTGGATTCAACTTGAAATCACTTGAAAGTGTTAAATATTTCTGAAATTTAAACATAGTCATTCCAATACACATTTTATCTTTAACAATGCAAGAAATGACATCAAAACTGATTTTCTCTCATGAGTTATGACATGGTGTAAGGTTTCAAGCATTATTAATTTTAATATGTTTTTTTCCCCAAGTTACGCTTAATAAACATAAAGTATAATAGCACTACTTTAACCAAGTTGATAATATACTCCTTAAGCTGTTGTAAAACATCATGTTTAACAGTATTACATCTGAAAATAACAATTAAATATTGAATATTGGGACTTGATCGAGCCCACCGACCAGGGTCCAGGTCTGAGAACCTATATGGTACTTTTATAATCACCATTGTGAAGTCCGTGCCCATTTAGGATACAATCTGCAGAAGAAGAAAAACACACACACATTCACACTGCCAATCCTTCAGTGCCATGGACATTTTGATTTGCTGACCAAGTCTAGCAGTTGAAAAACTACACTTGATATGTATACAGATATGAATTTATTTACACATATGATTGGATATGACTGTGCAGAACCAGTGTTGCTTTCTTCATTTCCTTTGGTTTTAGGACATAATATTCAGGAATATTTATTCTCTATTCCACATTAAGAAACAGTTCCCCGTGGATCAGGATTTTAGCCACGATTTCAAACCTACCTGTCCAAAATGCTGATTTTTAGCCCATTTTGACAAAATTGCCTGTCCTAAATAAGTTAACTAGTAAGGATATATAGTGAGGAGTGAGGAGTTGCCTGTCTAAATGGGCCTTTTTAAGAAAACTGCCCGTCCAAAAGACAGGCAGAACACGGGTGGGTGGCTAATTTAGCCTGCTATGGATATATATAGACTAGCACTGGTTTCAAAAGTCCTATGATCTAATTTTCCTCGCCTTGGCGAGTCATTACTGGGTCGAACAGTGGCAATAAATAATGCCAGCAACATGCATTTCTCCGAATATTCGACATGATTTTTTAGCATGATAATTGATTGGTGGATTGATTGAGGATTAGGATCAATATCAAATGTCATGACAATACTAGTGTCCATGAAAATAATAATGAATTCGTTTAAGGACCCTCTAACTGAAATAACAAAACATATTTATTCTGTAAAAATGGAATTTTTCGTGGTTTTCAAATGTGAGCGCAAAAAATCCATGCAAATAGTTATTAATATAATATAGGTTATATATATATATATATATATAGATTATAAATATATAGATTAAATATAGAATATAAATATAAAGATTAAATATATAGATTATAAATATATAGAATAAAAATATATATAGATTATAAATATAGAGATTATAAATATATAGAATATAAATACATAGATTATAAATATAGAGATTATAAATATAGAGATAATAAATATATAGAATAGTTATTAAAGGGGCATAACGGTGAAGTAACTTTTTTTTGTGTCTTTTTTTCAAATGCTACATAAACATATCAAGTGAGACTCCTTACGGAAAATNACTTGTGTTTACTGCCTAGTCAGGTGACGTTATTGGCGCTATTTTTAGCAGGGCTTTCCCGAACAATTCAAGTGGTCAAACTGGACATTTGGAACGGACTATGAATATGGGGATAGCGTGGTAACATAAGTGGAAGTGCATACAATACATACATTCATTAAAAAAAAAAACGCCTTTTCACGTGATGTCCCTTTAATGTAATATATAGATTATAAATATAGAGATTATAAATATATAGAATAGTTATTATTGTAATATATAGATTATGAATATAGATATTATAAATGATTATAAATATAGATATTATAAATGATTATAAATTTATAGAATATATAGATTTCGGAACCATTGCCAACACGGAAATTTTCACTTTTACATCATTTCCCTCAGGAAGATTTAATAAATGTACAACGACAGCATGTATTATTAAAACCTTTAAACAACTCTTCTGAATAACCAAGAGGCCTAGGTTGATGATATATATCATATGTAGCCAGTAACATGCTGGGAGGAAATGCTGCCAAGTTTATTTAAATGAATGACCTTTGCCAAAATTCAAGGTCACAGGGGTCAAATACTAAAAGGCCTAGGATAGTGATATTTGGCCAGAAGCATGCTGGGATGAATGGTTACCAAGTTTATTCAAATGAATGACCTGCGATCATTTTCAAGGTCACAGGGGTCAAATATGTTCAAATCTTTTAACACCTTCTTCTGAATAACAAGTTAAGGCCTAGGATGATATTCAAGGTCACAGGGGTCAAACATGTTGAAATCTTGAAACAACTTCTTGAATAACCAAATGTCTATGGTGATAATATTTGAGTACAAGTATGCTTGGATGAATGGATACCAAGTTTGTTCAAATGAATGACCACGGTCACAGGGGTCAAATATGGTGAAAACCTTTAAAACAAGTTCTTCTGAATAACTATCAGGCTTTGGTTGATGATATGTAGCTAGTAATATACTGGGAGGAAGGGCTACCAAGTTTGTTCAAATGAATGACCTTTGTCCATATTCAAGGTAACAGAGGTCAAATGTGTTTAAACGACTTCTTCTGAATAACCAAAACGTCCAGGGTGATTGTTTGTTCATGTGAATGACCTTGGCACACTTTCAAGTTCACATCTGGTTAATTGTGGATACAATTTAAAGTCATCTTCTCAATAAACAAAAGGTATAGGGTGGTGATCATATTAGGCAGTTTGCATTCTTGGATGAAGGGCTATAAAGTTTGTTTAACTAAATGTTCATGTATGGTTCACTTTCAAGGTTACAGGGGTTAAATGTGCTTTTGATTGACTTTTAAGTCAAGACACTGATATTTTGCCTGTAGCTTTATTTTAGTTCACTTACTTTTATGGATACAGGTTACAACTGTGATATTAATACCAGGTGAGCGATGCAGGCCCATTGGGCCTCTTGTTCAGGATTTGTCCAGGTCAGATTTTTCAGGCCGTAGGTTTCTTTGAGATTGTTAAAAATTTACAATGGTTTTCAATTGTGAAGAGGAGGAAATGTGTGAAGCCCATCCCATACAGCATCATTCCTAAATTATAAATAAAGTTCTAATTATATTGTTTGTGGGCGATTTCCTGGAACTAGTAGTAGTCCATTCGCTGTAGCATTGCCCATCCTGTCCTAGCCGAGATCTATTCCAACACTAAAATAGCAGTTAAAGCCTGATTCTCCTTCACCATCTCACAGTTTAAAGGTGTGTGATATCCTGGAGTTTGTGTGGGCTAACTATAGGCCTCAGAAGTGTTTGACAACTGTCAACAAAGGGATGTGACTAACTGCCATGCATGAATAAATAAAGGATGTGCATGGGCTTCATTATATAACACACAATGCTTTACTCGTAGAATTCTGTTTGTAAATTAGTCATGATTGGTAATATGTTACATCTCTGAGGCATTGCTAAATAGTTTCTGTAGAGTTCATCCAATCAAAATGTCAGTTGATTTCTATATTTATCTCAGCAATTAACTCACAGCTAAGTTTTCAAACAGAGACCGTTAATTTAACTTATGACCAATCCCCTGATCAAAGTTCATGTAAAAACAGCAGAGCTGATTACTAAACTAAGTGCTGAATTTCTTTAGTTGCTTCAGTTGCTTAAAAGTCCATTATTTTCCGACATCTGTTCTTGATCATCACTCCAGTTTAAAAAAACAATTAGCGAGCACTCAAATATGTACGTTAGTACCAATTAATAGTATATTATACATTATACACATGTTTTTGCGTGTGTTTATACGGCCGAGAGCCTTAATTACCAGACTTGAATTTGATTGGATTGTGAATCAAGACAAAATTTTGAGATACACGATGCTCCCATTTTTGTGTCATAGCACTATTTTTCAACAAGATCATTGCCAGCACAATCCAGCTGTTGTAATTGACAGCAAAGGAGACTTGAACCCTGATCATCATACCTTTGGATTATAAGTATTATAAAGATTATAAGCAGTAATTTCCAGAGGTGTCAAGGGGAAGTAATTTCAAAATGGTCTTGCTTTCTAAAAAGGTCCCCAACCTGTACTTGTCTTTATATTTAAAGAATATGAGGAAATAACAAAATTCTAACAGGAAAATAAATAGTTGCCTTGGGAATGCTTTTATACAGTACAGTTGATATATATGTAAATGGTGGAAATTTCATCCTTACATGGGTACATGCTGTATGTAAACGGTAGAGCATGAACCAATTAGAATAGTCATGTATATATGTAAACTTACACAAAGAAACTTGGTTTTGAATAGAACTTCTTGACTATCAAGGATGAACTGGTCCCGGGCCGTCTCTAGAATATTTAATTATTTTGAAAAAATATGAATTAAACCCTAATAATTTTGATCGCTTGGATATCTGATCTTAAGTTCTCAAACTTAGGGGGAGACAAATTGTAGTAAAGTGCAGCTGGAAAAGTCTTCATAAAATACCCCTTATAAGAATAGGGCTGATAGCAAGTCTAAACATATATACAATATACATGACATTGATCCTCTGAAAGGAAAAGAAGACGCATAAAAAAGGCGTTGGAGAAATGTTGGCTAAAGCATTGTTTAGCCTGATAGCACGTGAAGCTGTTCTGTAGATGTGTGTGTGTGTAATTATGATGAAATATGAAAGAAGCATTAATTGGACGCCGCCACTCTGTGCGCCCGTGGTGTGATCTACACACCAGACATGTGCTGATTACATAGCTCATGTGTACACCATCCCACTTTCCCTCCTCCCCAGGGGGCGGATACTTAGCCGGAAGTCTGGGCAAATTGTAAACACCCCCCCTATATATATAGACAGTACACTAAGACTATCAGTAAAGTTCTGTTGGTGGTAATGGCCACGCATGTTGTTTCTGTCTTCATCAGAATTGTTCATGAATTGGCAGTAACACATTGTTGGTGAGTATATATATATTATAAGAAATATTGATTAATGGCAACAATATTGCTAAAAATAAGGATACCATTGGTAACATAGAATAGTTTTTTACCCTCATTAAAAGACTGATCAAAATTTCACAATTTTTCAAGGTATATATATATGTATTACGCATGACACATTTTTTTCTACATTCCATCTAGTCATTGGGTGGATCCTATTATAATAAATCATGGTGAGGTCGGTGATTTGTGATATTGTCTGGGTATTATTATAAAAAAAATAAGTAACAGGTCAATTTTCACTTTAGAGTTCATATCAATTGTAACATCTCAATGGTCTCTGCCAAATGCAGTATATATATACATTCCTAATTCCTGACAAATGATTTTCATATGTTTAATCTGTTTAATGATTTAAACATCATACACTATACATATATATTATCTAATACAACAATTGGGTACTTTTATATCGGTGAATTTGTCTCGGTCAATATCACTTGGTCAGGTCTAGTTAACCACATATTCACCTCAACAAAAGTCCATAACGGATAAATATAGTAAAATAAGATTTCCATTAAGTAGAGGTTTCATTAATTATATCGCCAGGAAGAGTGTCAAATTATGTTTCAATACAGAAGAAATGTACATGTTTTAATGGTAAATATTGACAGTTTTCTCTAGCTATGACAGAATATTAATAACATTTTGCATCCATATGCTGTCAAATTGTTTGGCTGTCTGTTCAATTTTAGTAAGTTCTTTCTGTTTTGTAAATAGAATTTTGTAATTACAATTGCAAGTATTCGATCAAACACATTTATATAGAAATGTATCATTTTGTACATTAGAGACACAGTTTTAGGCTTTTTGACAGTACACCTGTATTTGTTCTTCGTGGTGAATATTTCTGTATTAATTCAAACATATATTATAGCCCAATACACATACAGAAAGCGTAATTATAATAATAGAATGTATATTAGTTCCCGGAAATGGGATGGGCTACTGAACACAATTTACATTGCATCATATGATATACATCACTTTGGTGATAAAGCATACTACAATCTACCAGTATTTACCTGGTCCAATACTAGTCAATGAAATTCCTGTGTGTTTCATGGATCAACACCTGGAATATGAGTCTGCTGTTGCAGGCCTCATAATCAATATATAACCCATTAAAGCCGCCCACTCCCAGCAAGGCCGCCCACTCCCTGCCATCTGTATTTGGTCGGCAGGGATCAATGGGATAGGGTTGATTGTGATCTGTCGGGATGGAAAGTGGCGGGATGTGCAAGAAAGTTTATACGATATGGGGTTGAATTATGATCACATGTACATGTATATATATATATATATATATATATATATGTACACGTGACAATATTGATGTGTATATTTCAACAGTATAGCTGATTTCCCATTATAATAACCTGGGTTTGAGCAGCCATGTCATCTTTTGTCGACCACACAAGTCTTACCCTGGGACAACTTGCTGTAAGTGATTTTAATTATTCTATGTCTCTGATATCAAATATTTTTATATCTTAATCTTTTTATATCCTTGGACAGATATTTTGTGTGTCTGTTAATTATACGGTTTCATTTAATTTAACTTCTTTCGGGAAACATCCTAAATTGAAAAACAAAATGTATTTTAAAAGCTAATCCCTGCCATTGAAAAAATAGGTATCTGTGGATGATTCATCAAAGGACACACTCTTTTTCCTGACAAAAAATATGTTGATGGAAATAATGTAATCTGAAGCTTCCAGGACTGATTGATATATAAGCCCAAGAGAAACATTACTGATTTCAAGGTTGATTTACGTTAAATAGTGGTTCAAGATCACATTTTATGGGATTACAGAATACTTTCCTTTTTCGAAAAGATATCGGTAGAATTCAGTTTATACAGTGCTAGAAATTAATTTTGAATACCACTAGTCAATTAAAGGGGCATCACGGTGAAGTAACTTTATTTTTTGTCTTTTTTTCAAATACTACATAAGCATATCAAGTGAGACTCCTTATGGAAAATAACGATCGGATTTGGCTGAAATAGATTCATAAAAATGATTAAATCTTAGAAAACCATCGGTATTTCTACCTGTCTGACCAACGTTTTGTTCAGGGATTTCCCTCTACTAGCGCATGCGCACAGCACACCATTTCTTTGTAAACAAAATGACTGGCCGTGTGAAGTAAGCGTAAGAAAAGTGTTTTACCGTGTCAGTTACGAAACGAAAAGTTGCCAAATGGTCAAAAGATAGCGCAAGGAGTGTGTTACGGAATCATTATTGCAAGTGGGCAGTATTCAAAGGAGAAATAACTGCCGTAGCAGTTAGTACGGTGCATGTATTCTTCCGGATAGCCGGTTAAGCTGAAATGGAATCGACAGAAATGCTAGCGCTGTTTATGTTATGAATAAATATCTAAAAACTATTAAGCTTGCTAGTATCTTTGTCTGAGTTTGAATACAGATGAACTTAGTTTAATATGTTAATGGGCATGTATTGGAGAGAGTTTACTTTGTGTTTCTATAATTATACAGTGGTTTATGCGAAAGGAAGGGATAAGTGACTGGTTAGTTTGATTTTGCCATGAGGCCCTCCAAGGGATAACTGTTGTGATGGCCCACGGCATATTTTCTGGGTCACCGAGATACGTGTGTTATCCAAGTCCGTGGATTTACATAATTTAATATTACCGGGTTCAATAAAATAGTATGATTTAATTATATTGCTGAATTAAACGATTATTTTTGTTTTTACATGCAAGATTTAAATTAGTACTAATATGAATACCCGGCCTCCTCTGCCCCGGCAATATATAAAAAAAAATCAGAAAGGTTTGTCTCTTGGTGTAGGGAAGGTGTTTAGCCCCGTACCATCTGTACCGGCCACATTCCGGTACTAAATTCAATATATATTTAAATATTTCTACTTTATGTTTATGCCTATTATCATTGTTGACATTTAATTGTAAATGTATGACGGGAGAAGGCTGTGATAAATTGTAAAAACTTGTGCCCCATCCCTTGTTTAATTTTATTGGCAATACATTTATGTTTAAAGCTAAATAAAATTAAATTCTGAACACTGTTCAATAAGTTTGAATACGGATTTAGAAATCATATAACTTGGTTTCATAGTGCGGTAAGAAGTTGCAGTTGCCTGACGGCCCCTCTCTGGGGGCCCCTTTGGAAACCGTTTCATCTCGCTCGCACAACTTGTGTTTACTGCCTAGTCAGGTGACGTTATCGGCGCTATTTTTAGCAGGGCTTTCCCAAACAATTCAAGTGGTCAAACTGGACATTTGGAATGGACTATGAATATGGGGATAGCGAGGTAACATAAGTGGAAGTGCATACAATACATACATTTATTAAAAAAAACACGCCTTTTCATGTGATGTCCCTTTAATGGTAGTTATAATATAAGTTTCCAATTTGTTCCTAGTCCATGTGCAAATTCCACTGACCCAATATTATTCAGCAAGATAAATCAATATAAAATTTTGACTATGGTCAATCGTGCTAGCTAGTGTGTGAATATTAAAATTCAGGAAATATCTGTATGATGAAGGAAGTGAAATAATTTAACAGAACAAGTTTTTACTAACTTTTAATCTATATTTATCATTGAATCATACACATCATTTGGTCTTTGAAGTAAACGATTCCCACAGACTTACATTGCTTTTCAAAGGCTATCAGTCTACCAAAAAACAAATTCTGAATTGTAACATTTCTATATAGCAAAGAGCAGGGGGGGGGGGGGGGTCTCTGGATACATCGTACTTCCAAAGGTTCAATTTGGTAATGCTTTGAATAACTTAAACCCACCTGAAGTTATAGAATCAAAAACCAATGATTACGTGACCAAAATTGCTAGTAGGTGCAGGCTAAATGATGTACATTTTACTTAAAAATGAAAAAAAACAATGTCAAAATGTGTAAGATGATAGATTGTTTTTTTTTTATCATATATATATATAAATGTATAATGTACATCTATAGGATCTATAATATCTTATTATTATCTATATATATACATGTATATTATCTATAATATACATAAACGTTTGCACGTTCACTCCAGGATCTATAATATTATTATATATAATGTTCATCTATGATCTATAATATCTTTGAATTAAAAGAAGAGTACGTACATATAATTAACATACATGTACATGTAGATAGATTTTTAGCTCACCTGGCCCGAAGGGACAAATGAGCTTAGGGCATGGTGCGGCATCCGGCCGTCGTTCGGCGTCAACTTTTTACTTTAAACAACTTCTTCTCAGTAACCAAAATGTCTAGCTATATATATATAGGGTAATGATATTCGGCCAGAAGCATGCTGGGATGAAGGGCTACCAAGTTTGTTCAAATAAATGATCTTCATACATTTTCAAGGTAACTGGGGTCAAATATGTTAAAAAAAAATAAACAACTTATTCTGAATAACCAAGAGGCCTAGGGTGATGATATTTGGCCAGTAACATGCTGGGATGAAAGGCTACCAGGTTTGTTCAAATGAATGACTTTTAGTCATATTTAAGGTCACTGGGGTCAAATATGTTAAAAACATTTAAACAACTTCTTATGATTAACCGAGAGGCCTAGGGTGCTTTAATTTGGCCAGTAACATGCTGGGATGAAGGGCTACCAAATTGTTCACATAAATGACCTTGACTTATATTCAAGGTCACAGGGGTCAAATATGTTTAAAACATTTTAACAAATTCTTATGAATAAACCAAAGGCCTAGCATGCTTTAATTTGGCCAATTACATGCTGGGATGAAGGGCTACTAAGTATATTTAAGGTCACATGGGTCAAATATGATTAAAACCTTTGAATGACTTCTTTTTAATTAGCAAAAGGCCAAGGGTGATATTATTTAATCTTTAAATTATTTGTTCTATATAGCTAAAAGGTCCAGGGTAATGATATTTTGCTAGTAAACTCCTTTCAACCTAATGTCCTTGTTCGACATTCAAGCTCACGGGCATCTTATGTTTAAATCTTTTAATAGGTTCTTATGAATCAAACACTGATATTCTGCCTGTAGTTGTATTTTAGTCCACTTTTAAGATTACAAGTGTGAGATTAATTCCAGGTGAGCGATTCAGGCCCGTTGGGCCTCTTGTTCATATTCTTGTAAAATTTATAGAAAAAAAAACGACATAATATCGGAAAAAGAATTTGTTTGATAGCTTACAAGATATGTTCTTCAGATATAAGTGGCGAACGCCTGTCCTCATCACCGTACATGTATACAAATAAACCACAGATGTTCAAGCTAATTCCACAAGCTCTCATTTCCGGTGTTGGAGGTTTGTGTCAAAATAATTTCCGCCTTGAATTCTTTGTTTGTGTGAGGTAGTAGAACATTTATCACAGTACATTATGTGATGGAATTGTAGCCTGCAAATTAAGTTCACAGCGCAGTGCTGAGTAGAAACATCTTGATAATAAGCAGCCAACAGCTTGATTGCAGAGACATCAGCTTCTAACCTAAAAGATATTAGTTCACCGGAAGCTTGTGATACTGAACAAAACTGTAATCAAGTCCTTATGACACCAACAAACTGATTCATTTCATTTCATATCTCTTCGGGTGAACTATTTAATACTGATTCAATTATTCTATTTTTGAAATGCAAGATTTCATCATGCCTAGTAACACCATCATATAATGATTGTATTTATATGTCTGTGGGCCTTGTTCTAAACAATTCTCTTACAAGTCTCCTTTTATACTTTGATACTTGTATCATCAAACATTATTTCATAAAATTAGGCTAGACAAATGTTGACTATATCATTCAATATTAATGGTTTGTACAAGCTAAGCACATGTTCATATTACAGTAAACAGACAAACTCGCTTTAAGAGGCCTTCCCATAGGGAAGTCCTAAAAGAGGTCTCTGAACACAGGTGGTCTTTTTAAACAGGTTAATTTTACAATGAAATCGTCACAATGGGGGGAAATTAAAGTAAGTAATGTCTTAACTAAGGTGATGTCCTAACTGAAGTGATGTCTTAATTAACTGAAGTGATGTCTTAACTAAGGTGATGTCTTAACTGATATGATGTGTCTTAATTGAGGTGATGTCTCAACTGAAATGATGTCTTATCTGACGTTATGTCTTAACTGAGGCGACGACCGTATTAATAATATACACTGTGGCCTGTTTAATCAAAAGCTTTAAGTTGTATATATTAAAAGAGGTGTACGTTGATTGAACTTTTAAATCTATTTGTCCTTGATTTCTGTTTCAGATAGGTTTTACGCTGTATACAAAACTTGGCAATAACTACATATATTTACTGTGAATTTTGTATATATTTGTATGTAAAGTTACAAAACATTTCACAAATTGTAACAAAAATAAACTTTGAGAATAAAGTTACTAACATTGTTATATATAGATAATTTGAACAGACAGCTGTTTAGGAGACAGCCTTGAGCCCCCCTCCCCCGCCTTTTTCAGAAAGCCCTCTCAACATCTGTTGTCATCTGTTGGGAGTTTAATTTATACCATAGGGTTGTAGCCTTTGACTGATCTATACCGTTTATAGAGGTATACCCCTGTTGGTGTAAATATATACTTGAAATGTTATGACTTGAGACAGCTGTAGATCTTAAGAACATTTTATTAGATTTTTATGTATTTTTGTCTGCCAGCTGTTCTTTACTTTGTCATAAAGAAAAGGAGGATGCTGTGTAATAGCCTCAGAATCAAAGAGAAATTGCTATATATTTGAAACATGTTCCTGCAGGCATTGCCTGTATTTGATTAATATATGTTGTAAAATCAATAATTGCTAGATGATTTAGACCTGAGCTTGAATGCAGTGAACAACTGCAGCACCATATGCATACATGATCATCTGCATACCGGTATATATATATATATATATATATTCAATTAAAAAAAAAATTATGATCATGCAACATAATGGAGGGGACGTGAAGTGTTATTTCTTTGGACATGTGTCTGTATGTCACTTTTAACTGACATCGCTTCAATTTCCATTACTCATAAACTACCTATACAACATTCATCAATTAACCTTTGTATATATATATAATGGGTCTTGAGGAGTATATATATATATATACTACCATAAATATTAAATGTAGGTCACCATTTCATGCACTTTCCACTTCACTGATTACAGACTTTTGGATTTTACTCCAATTTAATCTACTGTACTGGAGTCCAAGATTCAGTAAACTTCATAAACATTATGTATATCTTAAGTAAACCAAAATTAACATAGATAGTTTTCCCTTCACCGACTTAATTCGGCTTGACAGATTTTGGGTTTAGTTCCAATTTCTTTTAATTAAGTCCACAATTCATCAAGTTTTATATGTAGATATTGGTACAAAGGATTTGACACACATTCATTGTTTCATCTTATGAAGCCATTTCCTATTAATATTTCAGTGTAATAACAAACGATTTTCAGTCAATTACATTTAAAAATCATTAAGAAGCAAGGAAGTCAAAAAAAAAATTTTGTAAGTAAAGTTCAAAATTAAGATCTTTAACAAGACAATAATACATCATAATTTATATCCTTGATGTAGGAAATATTCTGATTGCCACTCTGTGACCAATATATTTAAAGATTTCTTTTGAAATTGCACACATCATGCTTTATACATGTATATACCTGATGTAGTAGATAATCGAAAGGAAGCTGGCTATTTATAAGAAACGACAGTGAAGAAGATTTTTTTTTAAAGATTTCATTTGCATGATATCGATAAAACGGTATGAAAAAACACCTTTACAAGTACTTGATATATGATATGCTCTATTTAAAGACCAGAAGTGATGATGATAGTGTTTAAGAATGTAATCTTTATCAGTGTTAGGGTTATATATATACAAGCCTTGATCTGTAAGATGAAGAACACTTAATTTATAAATAGCATGATCATCTACATGCATATGTGTAGCTAGCACAGACAAAGCCTGGGAATCTTCTCTTCCCTTCCATTTCCTTCCCCCTCCTTTCTAAATCTCTGCCCTTCCTTTAACCCTCCCCTTTCTCCGACAAAAGGAAATCATCTTTCCCATTAGGCTGCTAATTTTGTTTAAGACAAAGGATGTTGATTCTCTGTTTCTGTAGGAAATTAGGTTTGCCATATTTTCCAAATTAACAAAATTTCATCTTTATATTAACAACGCACAATTCATTTGATGTTCAAAGGGTTGCTCTAACATCAAAGGGGGTTTTGTTATATAAAGCACATGTCACTTAAGCTTGTGTCTTCTGCCTTTGTTTTTCGAAATTTGATGTTGGGTATATGTGAGAGGGTATGATATGCAGTGTGTGTATGTACGTGTATACTGTTAAACAGCTTTCCAGGGACCCAGTTACATGAGCCAAGACCTTTTTAATCAATCCCACTTGATCTGCTAGTATAAACATGTATTACACCTACTCTGATATTTCCTTTTGACATCTGTCTGTTTTAGATGACGATACAGATAAAATAGTGAAGGAGGAATTGAGTTTGGATGAGTCAGAAATCCCCAGCAACAGGACAATGGTGCAGGGTTGTACTGAGAAATCTGTAGAAGGGAACCCTGCCAATACCAAGCGCAGTCCAAAGTCAGCATTCTCCATCAACACCCTCACCCATCATAGAATGCACAGGTCTGCTGTTCGACCATTCTTCTGCTGTGGTAGCCAGATTTCTCTCAACAGCATCAGCGATTTTGTTGACCAAGCTTCCCGTGAAAAGGAAGAAAGTGAGTTGACAGACTTGTCAGATTCCGACGAAATGGTTGATTTAATGTCGGACATGAATGTCGAGAGGAACATGTCAAAAAAGTCGTCAACCCGACGGATTTCAAACTCCAGAAGGAAAAAGTGTGACATGCAAGATAAAAACATGAGAAAAAAGTTTTGGACAATCAAATTCAGGGGGAAATTAATATCGAAAAGTTCGAGGTTAAATACCACTGACCAAGAGTTAGTGCAAGGGGCCAAATCTAATGAAGGCATCATGTGTACTTCGTACAGGAGGACACTAGGGAGTTCAAAAGGGGAAATAACTTTTGAAGAAATAGAGCCGTCATCTGCAGACACTATAAGTTTATCAGAAGATGATTACAGATCGGCTAGTCAGGTGGGCGGAGCTGAAGGAGGTTTAATTCCAGATAGCCTATTAACAGAGGGTCTTGTAACAGAAGGACTTATGTCAGATACTAGTCGTGTGCCCCGCGGTAGGGCCCAACGGTTCAGTGCCCCAGACCTGCAACGAACCACATCAGAAGTATTCGTCATGTTCAGGCCCCTGAACTCCATCAACTTTGACGAGCTGTACCCAACAGAGGATGTGGATGAGCGAAGGATTGCCGAAAGAGCAAGGGAAATGAAGGAAGGGATTGAAATGAGGCGAAATATCTTGGTTCCACAGTTCGAAGCAAGTGAGGGGGGTGGTGGTAATCCTGAGCGCATCCACTTAGTACAGGCACCTCCATCACCGATACCGACACCAACTATCCCACGGGTACCACAACTAGGTCGTCATTACGGTGCTCACTCTCAAGTAGACTACATGCATTGTTTGGTGCCAGACATCCTTCAGATCACCAAGTGCAGTTTTTACTGGGGGGTCATGGACCGTTACCAGGCTGAAAAACTACTAGAAAACAAACCAGAGGGCACATTTCTTCTTAGAGATAGTGCACAGGAGGAATTTCTTTTCTCAGTTAGCTTTAGACGATATGGACGGTCATTACATGCCAGAATCGAACAATGGAATCACAAATTCAGTTTTGATTCTCACGACCCCGGTGTGTTCGCGTCTGATACAGTTTGTGGTCTGATTGAACACTACAAAGACCCTAGCTGTTGTATGTTCTTTGAACCGATGCTGACGTCTCCTTTACACCGCAACTTCACATTCTCACTCCAGCACATGTGTCGATCCAGCATCTGTGACAATACAACATACGACGGAGTGCACAATCTGCCACTCCCACGATCACTAAAAGAGTACCTTTTATACTATCATTATAAACAGAAAGTTTGTGTGCGAAGGTTTGATATGGCATCCTAGCCAATGCTTCACAGAAGAGACAAAGATTGGACTTGGCATACACACGTCCACCAGACCTAATTATATAACCTCTAGTTAATGTGCCACCTTTTTAATATATATATAAGTTATTTGTTCAGTACAGTGGAAACTGTCGTGCAGTGAACAGTTTTTGCTAGTTTCACGACTGTTATATCAGTGTGAAAATATGCATGTGCAAACACGTTGACAGATTGCATTGACATGATGAATGTACCACATGAAAATTTCCACATTGTGATTAGTGTGACTAATTAAAATGCGAAAAATTCTGCGTTACAAATCACAAATAGTTCAGAAATACCCATATCATGAATAATTAGAGGAGTTAAAAGTCCAAAGTTTCTACATCATGCAAAGAGTTTCCACTCTACAGTATAAGAGCTGTCTTTTCTTTAACCTGTCAGATGCAAAATTCTTTCCAAAAATTGGGCCTAGGTGTATTGGAGACCTTCGTTAGGAATCGCTTAGTGGTATTTGTACTATGTACTATTATATTACCTGTAAATGTATAGGTATTACTGTAAACTGGGAAATATCACTGCAGTTTCATTTTCGCCTTTTTCGCCTTCCATGACGAGGGCGAATTTATAAGAACGGCGAATATAAGTAAACAATATAATATGCATAGTAGTTTAATGTGAAGGGCGAAATGAACACTGAGCGAAAATTGAGTTCATGGGCAGAGGGCGAAAGTTTGACTAGGCAATAATTTCTCTGTATACAGTATACTAGTTGAATAGCAAATGAGATAGTACAGAATATTTTTCTGAGGAATTGTGAGTGCAGGTTGTTAAACTAAGGAGATTTAGGTTGTCATTGTCTATAAGTTCCTTGTTTGTGGCTTACCGGTAATCCTGTTGATGTTCTGTCGATATGGTTTGCAAATTTTACAACCTGTTCTAAGTGTTCCCTGAATGCGAGTTTTGAAATTTGTTGAAGTTAAAGAATGGTATACATGGTATGTACTGTCTGAATCTCTACGAAGTTTAACGGTCAAGAAAGAATTATCAATGCAAGCTGTCCATTAAATTGTGTTGCAATATCATTGGGAGTCATTTTAACTTTAATTGTGTGTTATTTTCATATATACGTGAACAAATTGGATGTCTTTTTTGTAGCATTTTGAATACCACTAATAGATTAAGAAAGTCTTCTCTTTTTTTACAGTTTTGATTCATTAAAAGTATCTGAAGTAACTGCTTTTACAGATTTTTGGTAACTATTATATTTAAGATCTTTTTAAGTATTTTTCAGTTGCTGAATATCATAAAAGAAACACAACTTTTAATAAAAACAGATGTGGTTTTTAAGAATAATTCCAATGCATTTTATATAACAATATGTGACATCTATTCCGTTTGTATTTATTGTCCAAAAAATCTAGCTATAGCTGACTACATCACTTTACTTTCAACACATCACTTTAAAAAAATAAAAAAATAACAATGATATTGAGTGTTGTGCGACCCCTGGACATACCGTATATGACAGGGGATAATCCAAGACGCTTTCACACTTAGTATAGCGTACGTACCTGTCACAATGGTAACTGGTATAAAAATTACATTGTAATTTGTTATAAAATCATTTCAACACTGATGTCGTTGTTATGGTATGGTCTGTATATTACTGTTGACTTGACAATATCAATTATAAAATTAGGGTTAACCCTTTCACCCCTATGTAATTTTAGTAAACTCTACCATGCATCGATCTGGTTGTGTCCATTATAGTCTACAGTGGTGAAAGGGTAAAAAATGTTTTTCACCTGGGTTGTTCATTAGCTCAGTCAACATGTGCTGTATTTCAAATAATTTTTGATGTGATGTGAATTTCTACTTATTTAGAAAATTCTCATAACCAATTTAGTCGAGCATTTAGTGGAACATCTAGGATTTTAGGATGTCTGATCAATAGTTGAAATATATGTGATCCGATACGTCTTTCCAAAATATTCCGTGGGAATTTCTGCATTTTAATTAGAATATAGCTAGAGACTTACACATGTATCTGCATTGCAAAAGAGTTAAATACCAAGAACACTATTGAATATCTTCGAGGAATATAGATTTCGGTTGGGGAAAAAAAAAATCCTGGTTTTCATTAATTTATGATAATTTATTAATTTTTATGAAAAATAGAAAAGATTGTCACAAATCATAGATAGATTATATTATATGTAGGTTTGTGTATGAAAAAATGATTTAGTGTTACACATAAATATGACTGCGTATAAAGAAAAATGCCAGCTGAAGCAAAAGTGCATAAATAAAGTCACATAACTGTTGTATTCATTGTTATAATCTAGAGATATTATTCATTTACTCTTAATGATAACTATATATACATGTATATATGAACGGTGATAAATAAACATCAATCCGCCTAAAGAAGCCCTAGAAGGCAGAAAGGCCTAGCGGAAGATCTGAAAAATTTGTTTTTATTCTATACATGTATATATATATAGACACAATTTTGTTGTTGCAATATAGTGGTGCTTTTGAATATGGTCTGATCAAGGTTCTTTATTTGTGCAATATAGCTATATAGAGAAAAATATTTGTGAGTTGCCATATTTGTTGAAAATAAGAGATATATACCGGTATTAAAGGTTAACTCATGTCACGATCGTTGGAGCACTATAATAATGTGTTGTTGTACTGTGTTCCCAAAACTGATGTTCATCATGTCACGATCGTTGGAGCACTATAATGTATTGTTGTGTACCGTGTTCCCAAAACTGATGTTCAGCATGTGTTCTTCTGAATGCCCTGTGAATATTTATAGCAATTAAGAGAAAATTCAATTTTCTAAATATAGTAAAATTTCAATTTTTGGAAGATGATTACTGTCAGTACTGCAGCTAGTTATAATGCATGACAGAACACTTGGTTTAAAGTGACTTCAACAGATATCCATCTGTTCTTTCACCGTCTTGTCAAGATCTGTTGATAGGGAATACTGGGCATCACAGATGTTAATACTAATTCTCGTCCTTTTAAATAAGTCACAGAAGGAGGATGGGTGGGTATTCATGAATCCGTTGTCGTGCTCCCACTAAGATTCTGTGCTCAAGAAAAAATTCTTGTATCTGGTGATCATGATAAGTTAATAAAAATCCATGATACTAAATGTGAATGATTTGGAAGAACTTTTGAGAAACATATATATTAGAATACGGGTTTCAATGTTTACGTTTGACTTTTTGGCGGAGTCACATGATTTAAGCGAGTAACAAGAAAGTTGGATTTGAGTACAGCATCCATGCTTGAGCACAAGAACACTTTCATGAATATGGGCCCTGATCTCTTCAACAAAAGGTGTATTTACCTGAAAGTGTTAATTACTTGCTTATATTTCATATCTGTGTCAAATGAAATTTTATAAAGCCTGCTCCGGAATCATGATACTGATTCTTATTCATTTAAAATGTGGTCTAATTTTCAGATTTGGTCATATAACAAACTCATTTAGAAACCTCATTATAACATGTCTACACGATACATGAATTTGATGTCTTTTATAATGACTACAGAGCATCAGGGATCTGCGCTAGAAGGTGACAGATTGGTTAACTACATGTACTTCATTCTCTGGTAGGTTGGAATGTCAAATTGTGATCAAACGATAAATAATCAAAAGGAAATGGGTGACACTAATGAATAACCGTCACTCATAAAAACTTATCACTATTGCATATTTAAGTTTACAACTCTTTCAATTCCAGCAGCGTACATAAAATCTATTTTCTATATTATATTGGGGTTAGGGATGGGATGGTGATGTTGAAGAACTATTTATATTATTTAAGTCGATTACATGCATGCAATCTGACAAAATTGCATGAACTTGATTGTACATTTACACTATTTATTTCAAATTGAGTACCTTTTTTGGTGAGTTGAAGCAATATTATGTGTTAAAGGGAGAGACACGTCACAATACATGGGTTGTTTATTGAATCAAATACGGAGTACATTTGCATGTTGATCCACTTGAATCCATTTGTTATTTGTGTATTTATCTCAATGAACAAATTGTTGTATATGTTGATGAAAATATTAAATATCAGCAATGAAAAAAGTTAAAGTGAGTTTTCTTCTTTGTTTGTATGGTAGATGTTTGTCTTGTGGCAGGACCTCCAGTGACTATTGGAAACGACACCGACAAAGTGGGGGATTTTATCTTTACTAAATTTTACTGTATTTCCAATCAATGTCTATTCTATTTATATTTAAACTGAACTACTTAAATTCCAATAAAGAAGTATACAGTAAAACCTTGATATAATGCCACTTGTTTCGTTTACCTCCTTGTTTACTGCAAACATATTTTAATGTCCTTTTTTAGCTCACCTGGCCCAAAGGGCCATGTGAGCTTATGCCGTGCTGCGGCTTCCGTCGTCCGTCCGTCAACTTTTTCTTTTAAACGACTTCTTCTAAAGAACTGGAGGATCTAGGGTTAAGCTATTTGGCCAATAGGTACCTGGGATGGAGTGCTATAAAGATCCATCATTAAAATGACCTTGACCTACTTTCAAGGTCACAGGGCTCAAATATGTTAAAAACTTCAAACAACAATATCCTAAGAACTATTTGGACTAGAGTTATGATACTTGGGTATGTTATGAAGATCAGCAGTGCAAATATTTTTCTTTATTACAGTAATGAGGTCAAATGTCAACTTTAAGTGTAAGTCCGGGGTTAATGTCAACATGGGTTAAACGCTTTAACAATCTTCTTCTCAAGTTCCATAAGGCTCAGGGTCATGATATTTGACCAGTAGGTACCTGGGATGGAGTGCTATAAAATTTCCTCATTAAAATGACCTTGACCTAGTTTCAAGGTCACAGGGCTCAAATATCTTAAAAACTTCAAACAACAATATCCTAAGAACCATTTAGACTAGTCATGATACTTGGGTATATTATGTAAACCAGCAGTGCAAATCTTTTTCTAAATTACAGAAAGGTGGTTAAATGTTAACTTTAAGTGTTAGTCGGGGGTCAAATGTCAAGGGTTAAAAGCTTTAACAATCCTCTTCTCAAGTTCCATAAGGCACATGGTCATACTATTTGGCCAGTAGGTACCTGGGATGGAGTGCTATAAAATTCCTCATTTAAATGACCTTGACCTACTTTCAAGGTCACAGGGGCCAAATATGTTCAAAAGTTCAAACAACAATATTCTAAGAACCATTTGGACTAGAGATATGAAACTTGGGTATGTTATGTAGACCAGCAGTGCAAATATTTTTCTTTATTACAATAGTGATGTAAAAGGTCAACTTTAAGTGTTAGTCGGGGGTTAGTGTCAACATGGGTTAAACGCTTTAACAATCTTCTCAATTTCCATAAGGCCCAGGGTCATGATATTTGGCCAGTAGGTACCTGGGATGGAGTGCTATAAAATTTCCTCATTAAAATGACCTTGACCTAGTTTCAAGGTCACAGGGCTCAAATATGTTAAAAACTTCAAACAACAATATTCTAAGAACCATTTGGACTAGAGATATGAAACTTGGGTATGTTATGTAGACCAGCAGTGCAAATCTTTTTCTTTATTACAATAATGATGTTGAAGGTCAACTTTAAGTGTTAGTTGGGGGTCAATGTCAACATGGGTTAAACGCTTTAACAATCTTCTTCTCAATTTCCATAAGGCCCAGGGTCATGATATTTGGCCAGTAGGTACCTGGGATGGAGTGCTATAAAATTCCTCATTAAAATGACCTTGACCTAGTTTCAAGGTCACGGGGCTCAAATATGTTAAAAACTTCAGACAACAATATTCTAAGAACCATTTGGACTAGAGTCATGATACTTGAGTATATTATGTAGACCAGCAGTGCAAATCTTTTTCTTACTTTCAGTAATGAGGTCAAAGGTCAACTTTAAGTGCTAGTCGGGGGTCAAATGTCAACATGGGTTAAAAGCTTTAACAATCTTCTCAAGTTCCATAAGGCCCAGCTGGGTCATGATATTTGGCCAGTAGGTACCAGGGATAGAGTGCTATAAAGTTTTCTCTTTAAAATGACCTTGACTTACTTTCCAGGTCACAGAGCTCAAATATGTTAAAAACTTCAGACGACGATATCCTAAGAAGCATTTGGTCTAGAGTCATGATACTTGGTTATGTTTTGTAGACCAGCAGTGCAAATCTTTTTCTTTATTACAGTAATTAGGTCAAATGTCAACTCGAGTGCTAGCAACAATATCTTTAGAAGCGTTTAAAGTCGGGGGTCAAATGTCAACATTTGGCCAGTAGGTACGGTCTGAAGTTACCTTTATGTCAGTTTCATCAGGGACAGTATATAGAGACTATACGTCCCTGGTTTCATGTAACAAAAGAACCAGGTGAGTGATACAGGCCCTCTGGGCCTCTTGTTTCTTGTTTACTTAAAATTCCTTTATAATTTTCTCTCAGTTTATCGCCAAATCCCTTCATAACACAAACTTTTATCTGGACAAAATGTGGCAGTATAACAAGGTTTTACTGTAGTATTCATGCTAATTTAATTGAAAGATCTATCCTGTACATTTTCAGTTGTTTAGAAGGTTTACGAACTGCACGCTATCATGCATTTTTAGAAAACATGGATTGGTAGGCAGGAATTGAACCATGGTGTTCAGATCCTCTAAGCTGAATTTGAACATACAATCTATATATCTAGTGTTGGGTCTTTTTAGCCCACCATCATCTGATGGTGGGCTATTCAAATCACCCTGCGTCCTTGGTCCGTCCGTAAGCAATTCTTGTTATCGGTATTTCTCAAGAAGTACCAGAGGGATCTTTCTCAAACTTTATATGCAGGTTCCCCTTGGCCCTAAGCTGTGCAGGGCAACTTTTAAGACTGATCGGATAAACAACATGGCCGACAGACAGCCATCTTGGATTTTGATAGTGAAAATTTGTTATCGCTATTTCTCAAGAAGTACCAGAGGGATCTTTCTCAAATTTTATATGTAGGTTCCCCTAGGTCCTTAGCTATGCAGGGCAACTTNGAGGGATCTTTCTCAAATTTTAAATGTAGGTTCCCCTTGATCCCTTGTTGTGTATGTTATATTTTGAGACTGATCATAAAAACAAAATGGATTAAAAGAAGAACTAAACAGATCTTTCTCATATTGCAATGATCGATTCTATTTCTTTCACATCAAGTACTGTACTAGTAAATATGTGAAATGACAAACTCACTTTGAAGTTTGGCTTTCATACACATCAGTATTAAGTTTAGATCAAAAGTTACCTCAAGGTGCATTTACTGTTAACATGACTCGATCAAACAGATTAAAGGAAAGAAGAGAAAAGATCGAACTGATAAAGAACTAATGAAGATGGTACAAAGGTGGGTGCCAAGATCCCTCTGGGAGCTCTTGTCTGTTTTCTTCCACAAAGTATACAATCCAAATCCAGAGAATACCAAAGGAAAATAAATTTCATATTTCCAACATGAAATAATGTTGGTCAAAATTTTTGAATATTGTTTTTTAGCTCAAGTGACCAGTATTGCTATCCGTCTTCGTCGGTCGTTGTCCGTTTTGTTTTTTTACATTTTCAACTTAAGCTGAAACACTGTTCATTGATACTTTATGGGAATGTTACCGACTACTCCCTTACTATTTGTTGTTATTTTTTCGGGTCGATCAAAAATCAAATATGGCCGCCATTTTGAAAAACTATTTCAAACTTAGTCAAGTTCTACTAGGCCGATTTAACTGAAACTAGGTATGAATGATCAACTCATGGTCTTGACAAAGTGTTGTTATTTTTCGGGTCGATCAGAAATCCAATATGGCTGCCACGGCTGGCCATTTTGAAACATTTTGAAACTATTTTGGTAAAGCACCTTCCAAAAGAGTATTTAATTCTACCATATCTGGATCTTGAGAAGATGATTTTTGAAATTTTAGTCAATTTGACCGTTTTTGGCCCTGCCCCTCAGGTCCCTTGGGGCTGGGGACCATATAATTCACACTTTTGGTTGACTTTTGGCCATGGGAGGTTTCTGCAAAATTTCAGCGAAATTGGTTTAGGGGTTTTGGAGAAGATGTCGGATTTATACCCGAAAACGTTAGATTTAAAAACAGACAACCAGTTGAACCAGATTCACAAAAAGGGCCCTAGTATCTGTGCTAAATACCTCAAATAGCATTGCTTTCAGGTGGTCCATGAAAGCCACCTAAGTTGGTGCCTACTAAAACTGAAAACTCCCTTAAGTGACCTATATATTAAGACAGGGTTTAAGTGGAATGACTACAAGAAGCATTTCTGTTCTTCTAGGGAAAAGTTCAACATTTTATTCCAGAATAAACAATACTTCAAGACAGATCACATTTGTACTAAACATCCATGGAGACTATTCATCCATTGACTGGTCATCAGTGTACATGTGAATGTCGCTGAAGGGCGAGCTCAGGACATCCACCAGCATATGTTTAGGGATCTCCGACCCACGCACCTTTAGGGTATAGCACGCTGTCTCTACCTTCCGCAGACTTTGATTCAGTGTTTGAAGTTTCCTTTTCACATCCCTGGAAACATAACTGAATGATTGAAATCCTGACTGCATTTTTCTCAAGAAATCACACACTTCAAATGGAATGTCAAGATTTCCCGCTCCGACACTATTGATGGCCAATCGCATCAGCTCCCCAGTGAGATCAGCCACACCGAGCATGTATTCTATCGGTGGAACATGGACTTCAATTGTACCTGTTTGTTCTGATTGGCTAGTAGTGCTGTTAGACTCCTGTGATTGGACCTTTTCTGCTTGGTTCTCTGGATCACAAGGTTGTCCTTTGTCACTATTTTTAGGAAAAATCAGATCCTGCTGAATTGCCTTTAAGGATACCAACTTCTTGCTCTTTATGTAGTTGAAAAATGAAACTGCTTCAATATATTCCTGTAGACCTGTCAATATGAAGAAATTCACTATTTAACAATGCTTACAAGTCAAAATCAACTTGGTATCAAAATATAAATGCTGTTAATAATGTAGAACAGTAGGTTGTGTACCAACTAAATGTACAGGGATTAAGTCTTTTGACTTTTTTATTCACAAATGAGACAAACATGTCAACAGACTTGAGAAAAATAGGTAATTCTAATACTGCACAAACACTGGTAGGTTCTACTAGTTGATTAAACTATTGGGTTTTCGGTAGGCGTAGTGGATAACACACCCGCCTTTCACCAAGGCGGCTGGGGTATGGGGTCACCTGCCTTCCATGTGGGTTTTCTCCCATATTAACACCCCCTACCCCCCTCCCTGCTAACATCCAGGCCAATAAGGGTGATTTATATAACCTGTAATAGCTTGTTTCATAATGGTGGTAAAATAAATTAAGATTTTATATTATACTGGTAGATTGTATACAATACATCTTGATTCATGAACACTTTTTAAACAACTAGTAAAGTAGTATCAGACTGAACAAGGCCGTGAACATTTACAGTATACTAGCTGTCAATAAACTATACTGTTAGATCACACTCAGACTACCAATCTTCCTGTCTCATCTCCTACCTGGGGAGTATGCCCGAATGAATCTGTATGGGTCTTCATGCTGTAATTCTTCGGCTATCAAGACAAACTTGGTTTTCTGTATCTGCTCGAGTTTTTCTGCAGCCTCATCCAACACTTGGGATTCAGAGTCTGACCTGAGGTATAAATCATCGTTATGATCAGTTATTTCTGCAAGCAAATTCAATATGCATGAACATGCATTTGGGATTCCATGTATTTTGAAATATTTGTACCACAATAGAATGCAAATTACATACAAGGTACATATATACTTGTAAGAACACTCAACAACAAAACACTCAACAACAAACAACTGTTGTCACTCATCAAAATTAAAACGCACAATAATTATTATATCATATATGAAGTGATCTATATAGATAAGAATGGAATTACATACATCAATAACAGTTTTACTTTTTCCAGTTGGATGACATGCAAGTTCTATATCGAAATATTAACAACGAAAAAACCAATGTCTGCTCTGTTCTATACAGTTGGCTTTAAAATAGCACCATCTCAACAATTGCATCTTTGTAGCACCTCAATTCCTTGGTAATGATAAACTGTCAAATGCTTAAATAATAAAATAATAATAATATACAACATTTGATATAGCGCCCTATCTAGCGTACCTAAGCCACTCTAAAGCGCTTTACAGTACATAGATATACAATTTGTACAGTCAATACAATTAGCATATATACATTAGTCAATACAATTTTTGAGAAATTCGCAGGAGCTGCCTTATCAGGCGCTAAATACTAGTCCTATGCCACCTGGCTAATATCTCCTTATGTGTGTATGCCTGCCTGTGTGCTGGAGATGTATTGTGTTCTGTTTGTAGCGGGACCGTGCTTCCAATGGTATCATTTATAGTGCCACCTCACTTGAAGGCAACAGCACAGATACCGCAACATCCATCCAGAACATTTTATACTCCACCTGGGTTGTTGGGAGTTGTGTGGGCAGGAGAAAAACACTTTCTCTGAATATTCCATGCGTACGACTGTTCTAAAAATGTCTTGAGAAAGGACAAAACTGTATACTTTACCCTGCCACTCTCTGGAGTAGGAAGATCGTCCTCTTGCTGTCTATGGTGATGTCTCTGCTGATCTTGACAAGGCGTTCATGTTTGTCGTGCCTTGTATCCAGCTCTGACTGGTACAGTCTAAATGCCTGGATGACAGGAGAATTCTCGTCCAATGGTACTTTAGGTTCACCCTTTCTGGAACGCTTGACTGGAAAGAATGCAAAAACAAACATGAAAAGGCTATTGACATTGTTCATCTGACATTAAGGTATATCATCTAGATCTGTGCTCACATCACAGTGATTGTTTTTGCTCAGTTTTATTGCAGAATACAGGCTGTTTCCTCTGGCTAAAATGTCCCTTATTTTCCCAAAATGACCAAAACTGAGGAATATATTCCCAAATACTGCTTTATTTTCCCAATTCATAAAGGAACAAGCTGTAGAAATATTTAGATAACAAAAACATTACATCAGCGATTTTTTTGTTTGTCATAGCTATGTTTATATAGGCTCACCAATTTTCTTCAAAATATAGATTGATGAAAGAAGTTTGGTAATCAAGAATCAAGAAAAATGTAAATAATAACCATTGTTGAAATAGTACATTGAACATATTGTTGATTTAAGTTGAAAGGAGACATTTGAACACAAAATTTTTGTGCATACACCCAACCTTGAGTAATAAATATACCGAAAAATAATAACCTATATTTGTACTCTTATCCAAAGTACCTATGTTATACAACATAGCTGTACAACTATTACAATGTATTGAGCACAAAAAATCTTGTGAGAAAATGTCACTTTTCAGTTGAAATTGACTTGGATATAGTTTCTTCTGTGGCAATTGTTTACATTGTTCTTGATCACAATAACCAAAATGCAGCCCAGAATAAATTTCAAAAACTGACAAGTGAAGACCCTGGCTGAAATACTTTAAAACATGTGAACAAATGGATCTTCATTATATTATTTATTAGATTGTGTTGAAATACTGATTCCCTTTTTGATCTTAATGTTTAAAAGAGCTTTCTGTGTGTTTATTATACCATCTTGGCATTAAAAGTGTTTCAGTTGTACCTAAAACAGCAACTGTTACCCCTTGGGCTATTCGCCCTAAATCCTGTTTGCACTAAGGGTTGTTTTGCCCTAAATAAAAGAATTAAAACAGTGTTACGCTAATATGATAATTAATATTTAAATATATCAACTTAACTTATTGATGACTCTCTACATTGGTGTTAGGTATATTTCATGTAGAGTATGTGAGAGCGGAGTCAGCTTTTCACAGCTGCCGTTTGTCACACACGCACATATTTTTTTTATGAAATTGATTTTAATGATATGGAAGACTAAGAAGACTCAATTTGTGACTTAAAACTACTAAAATTGAAAGAAAATACCAAACGATGTTTCGCCCTAAAACTTTTGTTTCAGGGCTAAACAACCTAGGGCGAACGGGATAACGGGCGAAACAACCCGGAACCTCCACAGGTACATATACTGGCCTCGTCTGTCAATATAATACCCATACATATATATTATGGGTGTATTGACAGACGAGGCTAGTACCTTTAGTCCGAGTTTCCACTGTCCCTGATACCAGACTTGGACATTTTGACGGATAGATGTCTGGTCAAAATGTCCAAAGTCTGGTGTTAGGGCCAGAGGAAACTCCAGCTTAAAAGACTACGAGGAGTTGTGTCCAACCTGCAGAAGGCAACTTAAAATTGCAATGCCAGTCGCTATTTCACTGGCGAGCAACTCTGGTAAAACGAGAAACATTCAGAACGCCATAAACGAAAGTGGTTTAGGTACTGTACATCGACATTGACTAGTGTCAACGGTCATCTGGTCATGTAGACTGAAACATGAGAAGATGGTGTGGTCATTTGAATGCTAGTCGTTTTGGTAACAGGTCGTTTCGGGAGTCCTGAAGTCGTCTTGGGACATGACACAAGATNATTTTGTTAAACTAACCCAATGCATGTTAAAATAGGACCAGTATGCATGAAGCTATCCCACAGTATTAGAGCCTAATAGAATAGCATATGAAACAAACAACGGCATGTGAAGCAAAC